ATGCCGCCGGGCAGCCCCAATAGCTTATAAAGTATAAGTAGTTTAGCAGATGTAAAAAGTTAAGTTTGTGGGGGAGCCCCCGTGTAAACATTCTTGTGTACTCAATGAATACAATCAGTTTCATTTTTTGTGATGGAATCACTCCGTTCGGGGAAGCTTGTCCCATTCGTTCCTTAGTTTTACCTTAGTATAATTTTGTTTTTTATTCTTTCTTTTTCACACTTACCCGTTCGTCCCGTAGGCTGCAACCTTAGGAGCCTGGGCGTGGCCCGCGAGGCTCAGCTGCTCGTAACCGTAGGTAGAGGCGGGGTGCGATCGGTCGGAATATTTAAAGCAAAGCTACGTAAGGTAATTTAAAGGAACGAACTACCCTTTTGTTTGGGTAGGAAGGAGTTTTACCATATGATAGTAAACGAAAAGAGAGGTGGTAGTGCACCCCCGTGGAGCCCCCGAGCGACCCAGGCCGAAAGTGTTCGGGTCAGGGCGCTTTTATAGGAGCAAACGTTAAGTAAACAATGGTAAGACTGAATTTTAGGGGAAGAAAGGACATAGCTATTCCAAGCGTTGGTGAGAACGTTGTCGTTGTCGTCCTTTAGTCAGTAGGCGTCCGGTCGGATCACCTCGACCTTCAGTCATTCGGATCCTTGCCTGCTACGCCCCTTTCTTGATGGCTGCTTCTTCGCTTGAGGAGCTCGCAATCCTTGTAGAGGTGTTTGACAGGGTAGGCGTGGTTGGTGCACGAGCTCTCCATGAGCTTGTTGAAGTGGTCCGGAAGGCCCTGTTGGGGCTGCTTGCCCGTGTGATTAGCCGTGACAACCAACACGGAGTTGGCCGGTCGGCGGCGATCTTTTCTGTTCTTTTTGCCCCTCTGCGTGGAGGGGCCCTCATCCTGATTCGCGCGCTTGGCCTTGCCTTTGCCTTGGCCTCCGTTGAAGCATTGCGGGAGCAGTGCTCTCAGGATGCGTCGGGCAAAGGCCCATCGTCCCGGGCCATCCGGGCTAGGACTCCAGTCGTCTGACCGGCGACCGTGCCTAGGGTGTATTTCACCACTCCTCGCGACGGACCGGCCGGGGTCTGTGTCGCCTGCCATCACTGCCGCTCGATGGACGCTATCATCCTGTCGGGACTGACGCCGGTCGCTGATGACGCTGCGAGCGTCTTGGTTCGGCTCGAGCCACTCACGTACATGTGGTCGGAGTAGAGCGGGCGCCAAGTCAAGCCGAGGCACATATGCGGCCTCATGTGCCGCGCTCGGCGGCTGTAGCAGTGAGCGGGTGGAGCGATTCGTCTGGTGCATCCCCACTCCCCTAGTGGGGAGAGAGGCCATGAGTCGGTGTCGTGATACGGAGCTCTCCGCCTGTTGAACGGCAGTGGTTTCCACTAGTGCCCGGAGGTTCCGGTGGATCGCCTGTTCCTGGGGGTCGTTCGGCTCAGGAAGGCCGCGCAGAAGCATTGCCGCAGCGGCGATGTTATGGTCAGCCCGAGCGAACTATGGGGGGTCGTTCCCCCCTATCCATGATGTTGCGCTGGAGCTGGCGGGCGTGACCCCGAGCGCCGCTCACTGGTTTATACGCACGGGGCGCAGTGTGGTGCGCCGAGCGTGCCGGTGTAGGTGGCGGCTGGTTCTGCCGCCGTTGTCGTGGCTCCTCGTCGTGCTCTCGTGTGAGCATGAGGGTCCCCTCACAAGGGTCCGGAGGGGTGTGAGTCTGCAAGGACTCCGCTACCACCAGTGGCTGTCATGGAGCGTCCGTCATAGTGCACTCTCGGGACGGACGGTGGCTAGGTGCCACATCGCCGATGCTGGAGCCGTCACTCTCAACATCATCATCCATGAGGTCGAGGGAACAGGTGGGAGCATAGCTCGCCATCCCCATGAATTCGGACGTGAGAGGGGGCGGCGCCGGCATCCTTCGGAGCCCTCGGGCGTATGCATCCACGGGGGACACGAGGCCATAGGGGAACCGGTCGCATGGCGGTCGTGGCAGGGACAATAGGGTCCCTCCGGATAATCGGTGGAAGATAGTGAATAGCGAGTAAATAACAGCATGTACATTACTCACAGCGGAGTTTGAGCAGAGAGTTTGCTCGGAATGAAGCGCAGGCGCCTCGTTGTTGAAGTTGTTGGGTGTCTCGGAGCCGGCGGGGGGCGCCCCTCTGACGGGCACCGGGATGGTTGCCTCCTCGTGGAGGCATAGTATGCCGAGCCGGTCGGCGACGAAGTCCAGGCTTCCGAAGAGGAAGGCCTGGGACAGCTCGAAGATGGGTGGAATCCACATCCCAACAGGTGGGAGTGCGGGAAACTCCAGTGAGCCGAGGCGAGTTGTATCACTTGAGCCCGCCATGGCGAAGGTGGCAGAAAAGTGGGCCAGCCGATGACCAAAAAGTGTTGAACGTACATCGTCTTCCCCACGGACGACGCCAACTGTCGGTGCAGAAAGTGACCAACATGTAAATATTTGTAGTTTTGCTATACGTTGTGATCGGAGGTGGCCTAGCACTCAATGACATAGGGTTTATACTGGTTCAGGCAACGTGCCCTACGTCCAGTTTGAGTCGGTCGGTGACTTTATTCCTGAGCCCAGGTGCTCGAAGTTTGCTGTAGGGTTACAAATGGAAGGGAGAAAGATGGGGGGTACAAGAGGTCCGGTCGAACTCTGGTTTGAAGGGCCGAGAGTGACGGGAGCCCGCTATGTGCTAAGTGTTCGAGCGTGTGCTCGGTATAGCATTAGAGTGTCTAAAGTTACAGAGGGTGAATCAATGTAGGTGAACTGATCGATCTGAATGACTTGTCTTTTGAGAGAGAGCGCATCCCCTTTCATAGATGAAGGGATGGCCTTACAAGTGAGAGAGAGAGTACGTATGCTACTAAGTCTTGCTGCCCACGCCAGCGGGAACAAGATGATGGTAGGCGCCCACAATACTATTTTAATGTCAGATGCACGTAGAAGGTTGCGTCGTCTTCTTCTGGTATGGCAGACGTCGGTGCCTGCCATATTGTTGATACCAAGAGGTATACAGGGGGTTTTACCATGTTCGCCTGGTACGGTAAATGCCGACGCCCACAACACTGTTGATGCCCAGAGGCATATGGGGGGAGCCTTACCGTGTTTGCCTGGTATGAGAGTTGATGGCGCCCACAACACTGTTACGGAAAATGTCGACGCCTACAACACTGCTTGGGTTCTATCGTGCTAGGAGGGTCGTAGGATACTGTCTGGCAGGTGCACAGGGTACGGTCCCTGGTATTGCGGTGTTGCCTTGTGTGCCTTGCCTTACCTTCTCCGTCCGTTTCCTGGTCCTTATGGAGCGGGCATTCTCGATCGGTTGGTCCCAGACGGCTCTGATTGCGCCAGTCGAAGAGGAGCTGTAAGCAGTGGTTCGACGTTTTCCCGGTCGGAGAAGCGGGTCGAAGTCGGAAGTGGTGTTTTTGGTCAGGCCTTCCGGTCGGAGAGGCCGTCCGGAGGCAGGCTGGAGACCGAAACGAGCGCTCCGGTCGGAGAGGCGGGCCGGAGTCGGAAGTGGGCGTCGTTCCTCCTCGGCCAGGCCTTCCGGTCGGAGATTGGATCGCCCTTCTGGCATGTTGTTTAGGTACTTGGGCCGGCCCAAAAGTTGCGCGTTGGCTCGCAACGTTGTCTGCTGGGTTGAGCCTTTGCTGGGAAGCAAGTCCATGAGGGACCCCGGGTTTATGAACCCGACACAAAGAAAACTTTGTATAAGATTAAATATCCGGATAGAGTTTCTCTAAAATTCCTATGGAACAAGCTACTTCATAAGAATCCTAAGCTATTGGATTTGTAGAAATCCACTTTGTTCCAAAGAACGCCATAGGAAAGTTTTTATAGGATTATAATCCAGAATTTTCCATTTTCCCATTGCTCCAAAGGTGACCTAAAAGAATTACTCCCTTTGTTCTAAATTATTATAAAATATTTTGGTTTTTTTAAATACACTGCTTTTATTATTATGTATGAAGACATAGTATATATCTAAGTATATAGCAAAAGCTATATATATATATATATATATATATATATATATATATATATATATATATATATATATATATATATATATATATATATATATATATATATATATATAACCCAAAGCGTTTTATAATTTAGAACGGTGAATGTATGTACCAATTGCATAGCATGACTAGGACTGACGTGATGGTCACGTACTATGAAAGAGGTATGTACGTCACGAAATACTACGTGTCGAAGTTGTAGTGGGAAGCGGTATGTACGTCACGGTAATCAATCCTATATAAAACTACTCTTGTAGGAGTACATCAACCCCGCTTATTATTATATTAGATAGATATAGTAAAAAAATGAAACAAAGTCTACGTGCCTACATGCTGATGATACCCGTAGGCTGTATGTACGTCTAGTTGGCTACGCGTGCCACTGCCAAGCACCGGCCCTGCTGATGGCGTCACGGATGTATAGCGAAACCTGCAAAAACAATACGTCTGCCGACGCTGGCCTCCCAATCGAATCCAAGCCAGCCGAGCCGTACACCATTTCTTTTCTGTTTCTTCCGCTGCCCCCATTAATCAAGCAAGGGTTGAAAGAGATTTCCATTTTCCTCTCTTATAATATTTTTTTATAAATAAAAATCAGAAGCAAAAAAAAAATAAAGAGTCAGAGCCGGCTCCCCGTGGGACGGGTTCACCGGGGCAAACGTAATAAACGCGCCAAAAACTTGGTCGTCACCCACAAAACCACCGCGGAATCCATCCACTATTTTGCGCCGTTTGTTTACTTCCACCCTTTAAAAGGCCGCGGCGCATCCGGGTGCGGCTCAGTGCCGACCGACCTCCCCTTCCACCCACCCACCCCTCTATGGCTCTATTATCCCTGCGACTGCGATTCGCCGCCCGCCATCGTTGAGCTTGATTGAGCGCGTCTGCTGCCTCTGCCTGCCACCACCGTTTCTGTTGCTCTGTTCTCCCGCCAAGGCAAAGGAGGGATCGTTCGGCGGTCTCGGTCGACATGGGGATCTGCGCCTCGTCGAGGCGCGTGCAGCAGGAGGAGGACTCCGACGAGAACGTGGTGTACGTGATGGACGAGCAGGGCGGCGGCGGGGGAGCGGACGGGGACGGCCATGGCCGGAAGGTGGCCTCCCTCTTCTCGCAGAAGGGCAAGAAAGGGCCCAACCAGGACGCCGTCATCCTCTGCCAGGTTCGCGCTTGCACGGTTGCACCACCCTCCACTCATCGCTCTGCTTGCCGCCGCCGCCGTGCCTCGGTTGCTCCGTCGGTCCCACCCCACCCTCTTCCAGTTGTTACTTGCACGTCTGTTTTCTGTTCCTCTGCACGCATGCAGAACCAGTTCACATAATTAATTAACTTCAGGTTTCATTTCATCATTGTCAGAGTACAAAAAAAAAAGGATTTTGTTACTTCTTTTGCGAATTAGCCACAATTTGGATGACAACTGCTTCTTCTTCTTCATGAAAAAGGAGATCTTGATGCTGTCTCAGCAATTCTTTGGATTTCTCAGCTTTTTCTCTCTTGTATTCATTCGTTTATCTCTCTGTTTTTTTTAGCCACAGAGCTCTGGTAGATCTGTACTGGTACAGATATTTGTTTTCTCTGGTTACAAAAGATTTACTCCACTGACTGTACCTCACTGTTCCGTATAATCATGGATTAATTGTACGGGAGTAGTACCATCTTTTGCAAAGGAAAACCCCTGGTTTTCTTCTGGTCTTTTCCTCTTGGGCATGCCGCGGTCCTTCCCAGGCGCTTGACCTGGGAGGTCGAAATTCCAGGAACTGTCCTCTGTATTACCACCACCGTCCACCAGTACATACATACATACACAGCAGCCCCAACCAATTCACCACACAGCAGAAAAAAAAACACGGAAACGAGTTTCTTCCGCGTACGGATTTCCCCGCTGTTTTGATTTGCTAGTACGACAGCGAAACAACCCGGAATTTCCATTCCGTCAACGTCATAGGCACACCGCCGGTTCTGTCTCTGAATATGTTTGAGTGTCACAATGATGCTTTATTCTCTGTTTTTCCCCCAAAAAACCAACAATCTCACCTACCGTTTGGTCTCAATTGTCAACGATAATCTCTCATGTTATCATTTGATAATCATCACCAGCTTGTTGCTACAGTCAATGCAGTCATCAGTCCGAACGGACGATTCTGATGCTCGCCATGCACTTCTTCTCCTCAGGGATTCGGAATGGAGGACGGCGTGTTCTGCGGCGTGTTCGACGGCCACGGGCGGTGCGGGCAGTTCATCAGCAAGCTGGTGAGGGACTACCTCCCCTTCATGATCCTGAGCCACCGGAACGCGCTCCTCCTGGGGGGCTCGGACGACGACGACGATGACCCGGTCTTCAGCGACGCGTCGCCCGCGGCGTCGTCCACGGACGGCAGCGGGCGGTCGTCGCCGAATGCGCTGGCGCCGGCGCAGCTGCTGGAGGAGTGGCGGGAGGCCTGCGCCAACGCGTTCCAGGCCATGGACAAGGAGCTCAAGCTCCAGGCCAACGTGGACTGCAACTTCAGCGGCACCACCGCCGTGTGCGCCATCAAGCAGGGCAAGGACCTCATCATCGCCAACCTCGGTGACTCCAGAGCCGTGCTGGCGACCATGTCGGAGACCGGATACCTCAAGGCCGTGCAGCTCACCACCGACCAGAAGCCCAACGTGCCTCGTGAGTTTAACTCCTCCTTGTGGATGGATGAATAGATGGATGGATCATGGATGGATGGGTGATTGAATCGTATGTGTCCGTGCGTGGTCGCAGAGGAGGCTGAGCGGATCAAGCGCTCCAACGGCCGCGTGTTCGCGCTCAAGGACGAGCCGTCGGTGCTGCGCGTATGGCTCCCCGACGAGGACTGCCCCGGTCTGGCCATGGCCCGGTCGCTGGGGGACTACCGCCTGAAGCGGCACGGCGTGGTGTCGGAGCCCGAGGTGACGCACCGCCGCGTCGCGTCGGGGGACCTGTTCATCATCCTGGCCACGGACGGCGTGTGGGACGTGCTGAGCAACGAGGAGGTGGTGTCCATCGTCTGCGCCACCCCGCGGAAGCAGCACGCGTCCAAGGCCGTCGCCGAGGCCGCCGCGCAGCGGTGGCGGACCAGGTACCCGGCGTCACGCGTCGACGACTGCTCCGCCGTCTGCCTCTTCCTAAGGGACCAGCAGGACTGGGCCAGCAGCGTCGCCGCGGCCAAGGCCAAAGGCGGCCGCCGCGAGACCGCCGCACGGCCGCTAGCCGCTAGTGCTAGCTAGCCGGGGCAGACGGCCGACGAAAGCTCGCGCCAGCGACAAGCCCGCCGGCGTAGCTCGTCGCGTCCGTCCGTGTCCGGCGCTCTTGCTCTACTCTACTGGTGTGCCTCAAACGGCTGTTAGTGTACCGGGAGTGTAATTAAGTGCTGTAACATAGTGTTAATTAAGGTATAATGTTTTTGCGACAAGGAGATGATGAGGAGAGAAAAAGGCGGGTAATTTCTCAGTTTTGACTGTTGATCAGTGATCGGCTGACCATGCATGGTAATGGTATGGTGTCGGAGGAAGCGAATGGCTGGCAGCAACGCCGTTTGTACTCTGTGTGGCATGTAAAAAGTTACCAGTTGAAGAAGAGTTACCAGTCGAAGTGCCTTTTTGTTCGATAGATATAAATGTTACTCCCTCCGTTTAAAATTAAAAGTACACAACGTATTTTGTTTTTCAAAAGTCAAAGTTGGTATATTTTGATTGCCATTTGGTGAAATAACAAGTATACAGGTACATAAAATTATACAATCTGACTCGTATATCATATTTCGACATGCTTGTACACTCTATTGGTTTTGTAGCTATGAATGATGAGATATTCTTTTTCTTTTTATAATATTCATAAAACATAGAAAACACATTCAATGTCTAAAAGCTAATCATCATAAAAAGATCTAGTCCATATCGTTTGAAATGAAATCTCTAAACTCAAGGACACAGAAACCAAACCAATTTGTCATATAAGTTAGGAAATGATTCACTTGAGTCAACCCCAAAATGTCACTTCTGTTCATCTGACCTGAATGATGGGGAAATCACAATCACCCACCTCCCTATGGACACGATGGCTGGCTGGCCGCACGATGCCGTGGTAGGTGTTGCCGCAGCAACCCAACGTCGCATCAGTTTTGCTTGCTGCCGCCTGCCGGAGTAGGTTTGTTGTAAATTCAGAAAAGATGCCATCGGGGTCCATTATTTCATTCATTCCACGTATGCTCATTTATATTATTATGAACAAACATGCACATTCTAGCTATTTGAAAACATTGAGTTTGTAGATTTTGGGATTGACAAAGTTTCTACCTAAGGCCATGTTCGTTTCGCTGAAATTTTGCTGACGCTGACGCTGGTTTTTTGTGAGAGAAAAATATTGTTCTTTCGTTGGAAAGTACTGCTAAAGTAGTGCTGAAAACATGACGTGCATTTGTTAATGGGCACGTCATTTATCAGCGTCCCTTTGAATAGGTGACCCTGACAGATATGTTTCACCACGAGAAAACTAAACCGCACTTAGTTCATGGATGGATCCATTAACAGTATTTACCAGAGTCCACTAGCAACTAGCGATAAGCACCGATTGAAAAAAGCGATACCCGCATGCATGTCAAGGTCAGCAGCGCGCGCGCATCGATCGTCGTTTCCTCTCCTCTTCCTCCGCTGCCATCCCACACTCCGGGCCCAGGGCCACCACACCACACGGTCAAAACAAGTTTATCGCCTCCTCGTCAGCCCTCTCACCCCTCAGGGGTCAATTGCTGACAGGCAGGCAGGCAGGCAGGCCTAAACGAGATGAGACCTGCCAGATTTGGAGCTCAAATCCCCCAATTCGCCTGCGCGTGCCGTGTGGACACGCATCAACTTGCACCGCCGAAGAGGGTTCCGTCGACAGAATGCTTCGATTCGATCCGGGGAGCTGAGCTGAAAATAAGAAGATAAGGCCTCGTTTAGATGCTGAAAAGATTTCCGGGGAGCTGAGCTGAAAATAAAAAGATTAAACTAAAGTGTAATTAGTTATTTTTTGGTCCCGGTACCATGAGAGGCCTAAACAGAGGAATGAGACGGGTCAGGGGCTAGGCTACTAAGCGTGCGTAGTGGACAAGGTGCAGACGAGATGTGCAGTCTTGTTGCCCAATACATACGCCTGCTACCTTCCTCAGATGAGAGCTTTGCAGTCACCTGGTCCTGGACCTGGACAGGACAATTTGAATAATTGACCTTGTTTCTGGGAAGCTACAGTACCGTTTTATTTTTATTTGGTACTAATTGTCTAAAACCCAGATGTTTAGAATTCACCAAACTGTGCAATTAGTTTTTAATTTCATCAACGCATGCAAGTTTTTGATGTGACGAGAAATCTTCTTTTTTGCGTATTGTCAAAGTTCTGGAATTGGTGGCGTGGCCTAGAATTCATTCACGCGCACCTCGTCGTCCTCGTCAGTCACATGCCTTTCTTTGCTTCTTGTGGTCAGCTACACAAGTACATACACGGATCCAGGTCATGTACGGCATTCAAGACCACAGGCCATATCTTGGTCAACTGCATGACGCGCCTCACAACTGGACTACTAAGCACGCTGGGATACCAGCAAGCAGTTAACATCGCACCATCTTAGCAGACACAGTCAGGATTCAATTGAACGGTAGAGAGAGCAGCGCTACATCAAGGCCACAGCAAATCGCAACAAGGGCACTGGTAGACTTGTATCCGAACAATCTAATCTAATGAATACAACAGCAGCTGCGTAGAAAAACTACAATAGCTATGATGAAAGAAGAAATATATATATGTTCAATGATTTGAGTTCATGACAGCTGATGATGGTTAGCCCTGACTAGGTTGCATTACATGTCGTAAAAGGAAAAAAATAAAAAGGAAAATCTTACAGCCTTTGTGATATGTGAGCAGATAAATTCCTGTGAACTTTGGTGAAATTAGCATCAGCTGCTGTCGTCTATCTTCTTCTTACTGCTTGCTTTATCCTTCGGCTTCGACTGCCAATTTCGCTACAAGGCAGCTATAGTCTGACGTCATATCTTTGGGGCCAGAAGCTTCGGTATTATCATAATCCATACTTCACATTTACTAAAGAATCCCAGGGAGAGGCAGTCCGCAGTCAAGTATGGCAGTAGCTTACCAGGACTTAATCTTGTGGACCATCACCGACTGCCGCTTTTCGGCCCCAGCCATCGAATTGACAACGATTTCCTGCGCCTGAATCCTTGAACATGTGAAAGGCCAAGCCTTTCACTTCGAGCAAGCAAACAAAAAAACTACCAATTTTCTCTAGCACGTTCCCCTATGCATAATACATGTACAAACTATTTGCGGCAGCACACGCGATGGAGTTCTCAGTTGGGTGCCACGCAAGATGGAGGAGTTTTGTTGAGAGATCATAAGAATTTCCATTGGCGTCAATACTTGTATTTTCTCCACCTGCGCCATCAACTTAATTGATCAGAACCAAGGCAGTTGAATTTTTTACCAGGAGAGCATGGTCTGGTCCATGTACATACAGAAAAAATAAATTCAAAGGCTGGCAGCACAAGAGGGCCACTGACCTCTCCTCACAGCACGGGTCAAAGAAGTCAGAGTCCGTGCAGGCCTTGCTGGATTAACAACCTGTCGCCTGTATGGGTTTCCACAATTCCAATAATCAAATAATAGAAGTTTAGCCGGGCATGGAAAAATAATTTGCAAGTAGAGTGCATGCTGGATTGGTGTCAATATCATATTTTGTTACCTATACAACTACATGGTCATGGGTCACCTATATTGAATTGAATCTTGAATGTTTGGTGGCCCCACCAACTTTGACATAAGATGCTCATCATAAATGACCGTGCTCTTTTTTTGGTACATAACTCCGAAGTAGGAAAAAAACGTAAAAGGCCTTGTTGTTGTTGTTATTGCATTAAATATTGAGCTCACTTGGAGCGGCAAATTAGTTAATTGAGGAGCAAGGGCCTTCTGAATTATATTGAAATAGTCTATATTCAGGTAGAGTATAACCTAAACCCACTTAACAACATACACATTAATGATAATCCCAGCGTTTGACAGACCTCATGGGATTTCGGCTGGCTTCCAAAGTTGATGCCTCCGTACTTTCAGGAGAACCACCAAAAACACGAAACAAATTACTGCAATTACGATGCCACAAGAAGAGTTAACATACAGAAGTGTTAAATAAACCAACAGCTAGCAATTCTTACAGCTCATAATGCAAGGATAAGGATATACCTATAAGAACCAGTTGCAACACGGAGTCCATCACCGCTGAGACAACATTCAAATTTGTCAAAAATTGAATCATTCTCGTATAAATCACAAAGCTGCAAAACATGATGTTAACCACAGTATCAGATTACAGCAGATATTGATATGGCTCTTTCATTCTCAATCAGATGATAAGAAACTTCACCTTAGGACGTAAGTATTCATGAACCTGAAAAGTTGCAACTGGGCCTGAATCCATGTTTAGATCCCACAACTGAGGAAACAAAAATGGTTAAATAAAAATATTTCTAGCAGACGACATCTTTATCACGAAAGGCAGGGCACAAAATGTTCCTTGATCCTCAAAAAGGGGGCAGACCCAGTGCCGGAGGCTCCCACATGAGTGGGGTCTGGGGAAGCGAAAAACCGAGGCAAGCCTTCCCCCCGCAAAATCTGCGGAGAGGCTGCTTCGAACCCGCGACCTGGTGACTCAGTGAGACAGCTCTCACCACTACACCAGGCCTGCCCTTCAAAGTCCAAGGTAAAAAATATTTAAATATCTGATGGATCAATAACATGGGAGGAGCGTCCGAATTTTTATGACTAGGGGTCTGAGTAAGATGTATATTCCCTACTTTCTAGCCAGTGAATTGGTCAACATTGAAAAAAAAACACAAAATGTCATTTGGACTAGTGGAGCAAAACTATATTGATGTTAAGTGTGCTTCAAGAAAATTAGAACCACAACATGTCATTACAGAACTCAATGATGTCACACAGCTTATTTATAACATTGAAAGATGAACTCAATGCCTCAATACCTGGATAGAGAAAGATGAACATTTTGACATGTGTTTTTCGGGTAATAAAATTGATGTTTTTAGCCACCCGTGCATAAATCATACAGTAAAAAAAAGTAGAAATTCAGCAAACGGGACAGATAGGTCTGTTGCAAACCTTGAGTGTCATATAATCACGACTAAGAATGTGCCTTCCGTCCCTTGCAAACTTTATATCTGAAACTGATGCTATTATCTCTGTAAAAAAGGATCTTGATCCAGGTGCTTCATGTTCCTCAAATCTGAACAAGATGCCCTAGTTAAATAAGATAATACCATGACCAATAGATAAACTTAAAATGTTTGTAGCCATTAGAAATGATAAAATCTAAGCATTGCCTCCTAATCAACAATAATGTTACTGAAGAAGTTCAAGGGGAATTACTAACAGTTTAGCATGGTTGTCACACAGTGCTGACTGCCGCAGATCAATAAGCCGGATAGTACCCTTTGAGCTACTATATGCTAGTGTATTACAGTGAGTTGGATGGAACTCCGCACAAGTAATCACCTCTGAAATTTCACAGAATTATAATGTGATGGGTGTTGCCACATAACAAGTATGGAACCAACAGGAATTGCATGAGAATAAATGAACACCTTCAAAAAGATCTATTAGCCAACAGCCAAAGGTGTCTCACAACCAGTCGACAAAAAAATTTTGCAGTCACATATGCAAATTGTATTAGTTTCGTTTTTGCACAGTAAAACCTGATGCAGGTTATCTTGTGTCATCTAATCTTGTTTTTTCCATAAAGCAACTACTATGTTTATGAATTTCTCACCTGTTGATAGCTACAAAACCTACACTTCTGAGAAGGAATTGTTAGGTAGCATACTAACATACAGCTGCAGAGAGGTAATTGACTGATAGGTACAAAGTTGGTAGGTTCAGAGAATAGGAACTGCGTTCCTGAAGCAACTCCATTCAACACTGTCCATCATTTGCTCCAGACCCAAATTGGAGTTAAAGTAGGTAGATGTGATGCAAGTTGCTATTCCAACCATATTGGAAGGCCGCAGGGATGAAAAATGAAGGTGTTTTGCATGATCGGCGCCAGAACATGCATACCATGTAACATCTACACATAGCAGTTTGCAGGGTAAAAAGCACAAACCCTGCCTATATCTTGCAATGCATCCAACTCCACTATTCAAGAACTCCACAGCATCAAGCTACTGAACCGTGAATCTACCTAGTCTGATAACATTTGCATGTATAATGTTTACAAGAAACAGGAAGTTCACTGAACAACATAAGTAGTCATCAGACTGAAAAAGTTTACCAGTTAGATCCTCCATGTTTGCAGGTTTCACATCAACAATGTTAAAGCTCTGATTGCTAATTTCTAAATTCCAAAGGTTTATTCGCAGATCATCTGCTGATATGAATGTTTCTCCATCGCTGTAAACAAAACAAAGTGAGGACACGGTATCACCATAATAACAAACCCAAGCAGTAAAAATAGTTCCAAAAAAACTCTGCCACATTAACTCATTCAAACAAAAAGCGTATAGTAATTTGTGATACCCTTAAGAGCAACTTCTTATTTATAATGAAAAAAATAAGCATCTTTGGTTTGATCTAATTCAAAGCCTTTATGCTACATAAAGTCATAGACCACATTTCCTACTACAGAAGGTGAAAAACACTGTTGCCACCGTACAGGTTTTACACACTATCATGCTTTTTGAGTTGTCACCAAGGAGTTGAGGCATACCCCAGGTACCACAGGACGCCACAAGGTTTTATTTATGCCATATCGCCTAACATCCAGGCGTACCCCCAGCGCCACTGGACGCCACAATGCCTCAAAAACCATGCACACTGCACATGCAGGGTACCTCCTATGAAACCGGGATAAACCATGATTTCGGGCAGTAAAAGAATCTTTTGGGAAATACACAAAATATGAAATAAAAGGAGCTAAATCATGAAGTGGGGATGACTAGATGGAAAGAGATGAACCGTGAAGTGGATATGCAGCTCAAGCAACTGTTGCTACTATTTACATTGGAGTCTGCAGCAGACACTGGGAACACTAGATGAAAGGGGAAGATGTGAATCAGCTGCTACAGATTAGGGGCATGGGGATCTAAGGATTAGCTCTTCACTGAATCATTGTTTTGAAGCAGGTGGCCACCAGACAGTGCTGGACCCAAAAAGCTAGGAAACTCCACCTACGTTTGCTCTATACTTCGCTACTCCCTCCGTCCTAGTATATAAGGCATAACCACCTCTGGTTCAAAGATCAAGGAACTTATTTAATTCTCTCTCAACACTAGTAGTCTAGTACTACTACATCAACGTACGCACATGGCACGTCTAGAGAGAGCACACCTTGTATTATGGGACTTGAATAAAAAGTGGTTACGCCTTATATATTAGGACGGAGGGAGTAGTATTTTTCCAAATCCTACAATCCACTAATTTCATGGGGAAAAAATTGCCTAACTGAGCCATCCAGGTTCAATTGTGTCAGGAGTCTTTTAAGCAAACCAACCTTCGGAGGTCACTGATTCCATTTTTCCCAGTTTAACACTGGTAAGATATTGTGTTTTAATTTGTATAAATATGTTCTAACTGAGAGGTCAAGGCAAATATGTCAAAAAAAGAGTATGCACTTAAAAACAGATCCAATAAGACAATATTGTAAGATAACATAAACGATACGAAGGAAGATGAGACAAGGAAACTGAACATTTGTTCCAGTACAACAAGAGCATATCTTTTTTCAGATTTGATTAGACAGCTAACCTATTATTTGAAATGGAATTAATATGGTAGTCATGAGCATGTGCATATACACGTCGGCATCTCGCGACATGATTAAATTCTTGGCCCGTAACCTGCATAAATAGTAAAGGAAACTATTCAGAATTGTCACTGATATTATCTATAGTCTGTTAGAAGAATATCTACTTCTCTGTCATAAGAAAAAAAAAACTATTGTATTGTACATGCAAGCAATGCTAATTCATCATGTTGTACAACACTAGAGATGATGGAAGAAGTGTGTTTAAGTACTACCACCACAGGCAAACGCAGCGATGCACATCCTCCTGGAGGAAATGATATATTGTTGTTCGGACTGTACATCATTTCTGAACATCCACCATTTGGAAGAAGAGCTCTGCAACTACTGGTACCCGGACTTGAAGTTGAACCATTGTCTGAACTTTGGGAGGTATCCAAATTCATCACTGAAACCCGTTTCACTTTTTTCTCTTGAACCTATAGAACACCAAAGCACCATGGACACTATTACGTAATCATGCTCACTTGCAAATGATGAGAAAGTCTAAAAAGACAAGCAATACCATTGCACGAGCTGTAAAGAAGATAAAGCATAATTTGATTGTGTTTGTAAAGATAAGGATACAAAACACTTGCTTCTTGATCAAAGCAGCAAGAATATATATCCCTTCTCAGGAGTAATAAGACTGGCAAAAATATGTAAACCCTAACCCACATTAAGGTGCTATGAATATGTTTTGGACTACATAATGGATACAACACCTGAACACCAAGGTATAACAGGTCTAGTCTAGATAAACAATAAATGAGCTATGAAGTTGTAAACATATGAAAGTAAACCAATGAGCAACCTCTTTTATGCATACCTTCCAATACTTGATTGTTTTGTCATTTGTAGACAAGAGAAAGAGTGCGTTGTTGGCTGTTTGGCACCACTTGATCTTGTTAATCTTCTCTTCTATTTCCAAACTTTTTAGGTAGTCAAACTACATGAATTGCCGAGAAGTCAGAATAAAAGATTCACAATTTGACATATTCCAGTATATGATGACTATAGCTTCACTTGGAGTGTCATTTGGACTATGTATGGTTTTATATTGCCTTTTTCTGGTAAGCTAATCTGCACTCTATTTTTCGGAGTTTGTACTCTCTCCCCCAAAGTGTCATTAAAAACCTTGGATACAAACTCCAAACTACCCCCTCCATTCCAAATTATAAGTCACTTTAGCTCTGTCATAAGTCAAACTTCTCTTACTTTGACCAAGTTTATTGAAAAATGCACCAAAACATACAAAATCAAATTAGTTTCATTAAATCCACCATGAAATATGTCTTGACTCTTGATAGTGCATTTATTTGGTATTGTAGATGTTAGTATATATTTTTCCTACAATCTCGGTCAGAGTTAGAGAAGTTTGACTTAGGACAAAGCTAAGGTAACCTATAATTTGGAACGGAGGGAGTATAAGATTAATGATCTACAAAAGTGTTGTTACAGAGATTGTTGCCATCTCTGTGTAATACACTAAACTGGTCATCGATGTCATGCTAATATGTAAAAGGAAAAATTGAAGATATTGCTTCTCGCACAAAAAAAAAAGTATTACTTCCATTTACTAATCTTATGTGGCTGAACTATTACTGTGCAAATTAGTAGTCAAAAGTTAAATAGATTGATGCAAGCATTCTAAAAATGGCACTTATTCCTGGATAATGTATTGAAAAACTTGCATGGAAACCATGTTTTTTCTAGACTACCATCTATATTTCATAATTAACAATGCAACTGTTTGCCTTTAAATGGCACAAGTGAACTAGAGTTTACCGCTAAGCAACAAATAGGTCATTTGATAAATAAGACTTGGCAATTAGAATGTAAAAACTGGAAAAGGAAAAGTTGCCATTTCTTAGTAGCAAGTAATCCATGGAAGAGAACATAGTGAATGGACATGAATTCATGATGCAATTTCCTCCAACTTTATTATGTATTCAAGTTCATCAATCCTTTTAAATTTGCACACATGACCAATGATTTTCATATAAATTTGACACATAATAAAGCATGCAGAAATATTTGAAGTTTCTTTTCCATCACAACTCCTGCGAAAATAATCCAAGCTAGATATGGCTCAGACACAAGAAGTCAATTGACATTCATGAACAAATTGTTAATATCTCCACTTTAAGACCCACGTACCTCAGGTTCATGACTCTGAAATTCAGTCTTGTAACGGAACTCAGGATGCCTAGCAACCGGATATTCTTGCCTCTCAAGTTCTCTTCGACTAGCATTCTGCACATACATTAGCACTATGGGCATGAGAGATTTAAGCAAGAAAAATTACAGAACTTACGTAGTGTAGAACTTACATCACTGATGTCTGTTCTTTCGAACAAAACCACACGTCCACCTCTATCTCCAGTGGCAAGATGATTGCCAGATTTGTCAAACTCAATTGCAGAGATCATGTCCACTGAAACAAGTAGCATATCTGATCAAGATACAAACTGATTTGGCTGGCAAACAAATCAAGCCGTCACAACAAATATCAAGTGAAATGAACAAGACAATAAATAGAAGTGGGTTTATTAGCATAGAAAAAGACACTCCCTCAATTCTTGCCCATGACTAATTATCGTCATAAACCTCAATACTGTCTAATCTTGTCTGCCCAAATAGTCAACTTTGTGCTAATTTTATATGGACAATGGTCGTGCTGGGACTATGTATCCAAACAATGGAATATGGGGGGTCCTAAGATCTAATCTCATTAACGTCAATTTATTTTGTGAAATGCCTGCAATAATTGATCAATTTTGGAAACACAGTAGGGGAAAGCATCTCGAAGAGGGTACTGCCTTTATATTGGTAGTCTTTGGAAACACATCGTAATGTGTAGCTAGACTAGTTGATGCAATCTAGCCCAGGCGAACCAAATCGGCTCACCCACACAGGCAAGCTTTCCAAACAACCTCTTTCTCCCATCCCTTGCTGATCTCCTCCCTGTGTCTTCATTAGACACCAAATCAAGCACCTTGGTGGCCAGATCGAAGATCAGCGCCAACAAAATCTAGTTCAGAGTTCAGACAGCGAATTGGAGCCACAGGCCATCAAAATCGAGCTTGTCACTGAGTGGGAAGGAGGCAGAGGAGGGTGAAATAGTCCACCAGCCACCGGTTGGTTCACACACAGCAAGGAGTACACGTGGCCTTGTAGGGTGAAATAGTCCACCAGCCACCGGTTGGTTCACACACAGCAAGGAGTACCCGTGGCCTTGTAGCTCCAGTGCGTGCTCAGGAGCAAGCAGCAAACTGGATTGGTAGGCATAGGATTGAGCCACTTGTTCTCTCTCTCTCTCTCTTTCCTTTGCTTTTCTTTCTTTGTTTCATGAATAGAGATTGGCTATGGCGTCAAGTCCACCTAATTGGTTGTTACTGATGTTTCTGTTTCCATTGCAAGCCTGTAACGCAGCACATCGATGAGTTGATCAGGATGGGAAAGAAAAGGAGGAAAGAAGAAGCAAGTTTAACATCAATGCCAGAAAGGGAAACCAAGCACCCCCACCCTTTCTTGCCCGGCTGGCTTAGCCTGGGAAACAACCAAGCGTGCCCTATGCTCCAGGTAGGAGGTTGCACATGGAAATAGCAGTTGAATTTTTTAAACAAGATCATGATGAAGCAATGTAAACAGAGAGCAAGACTGGAACAGAAATTATGTGACATGTATCTACCCTCAAACTAAATAAGCTTTATGTATGTAGGAAAGGGGATATCAAACACCTTGATCAACCTTTTCATAATCATAAAAATGTTTACAGGACAAAGTGCAAAGATCTAAGGGGCATATAAACAAATATACCTCACTATTCCACAACAAGCACTAATCGAAGATCTAAGAGAATCACTATTCCTAAATGAGTACTAATCAAACAAATACCATTTCAACACAAAACCACAGAGAAACTGAAAATCCACATGAAAAGCAATATATTGCACGATCCTACACACCTATATAGTAAATGACCTAGGGGAAGTCAGATAAACTGACAGATTGTTTGTGCACTTGGCACACTTCTGAACCCTACCAGATATGAAATGCTCAGAATGTTACGGTACAGCTTAATCTTGAAAGGAAACTACAGAAGGCATACAGCTCAGAAGTAATGACAGCCCAAGAGTTTTCAAAAGATTGAACTACTGTAGACAGAAGCCAGGAGGTCATAAATTATCTTCCAGGATATGCCCAGGAGCTAACGAAAATCTCGAGGAAACAAAAATCAACAACCCCAAGTCCTCAACAAATTATGAAAAAAAGGTTTAAGTTTCGGACCCTCCAAGGCATACAGCATAGAAGCAATGACAGCCCCCAGCTACAAACAAGAGTTTTCAAAAGATTGAACTACTGTAGACAGATGCCAGAAGCTCATAAATTATCTGCCAGAAAATCCCAAGAGCTAAGGAAAATCTAGAGGAAATGAAAATCCACTACCCCAAGTCCTCAACAAATTATGAAAAAAGGTTTAACTTTCGGACCCTCCACTGGCATACATATATAACACCGGGAATATTTTCAACAAATCCATTCTGCATTCTAGCTTCAATGCAACTCCCAACGCATATAGACATTTGCCAAATACAAACCACAACTACCAAAGTGCCAATCTGTTGGAGCTAAATTACACGACAAAGACCACCACACGAAGTAGTTACTCGAACCAGATAAAGGTTGCCCCAGTAGAGAAACCTGCCAGGTCAAAGTGTAGGCAGTAAACAGTCCTAAATCGCAGTTAAGACACTGAGCATAGCACTTCCTCCAACTCTAACAAGCCAAACGCTTCAACACCCAAGCCACCGTAAAAGCCTGCCACGACCCATTGGCTCGCCGCCGCCCGGCCGGCCCATGGAACCCCGGGCGATACCCGGACACCCGCGTGGCGACGAAACGCATGGCGCCGCTAAACCTCTCCGGAACCCACCGGACCGACCAGATCTCGCGAGGGCGCGACGGAACTGGGCCGAGCCGCAGAGGCTCGCGGCGGGTTGTATTTATTTATTACCTTCCTGCACATCCTCTCCCGCGGCGCGCTCGCCGAAGACCTGCGCGAACCGCCACTCCAGCGGCTGCGGCTTCTGCTGCGCCGCCGCCGCAGCCGCAGACGACTCGGGGCGGTCGTCGGGGGACATGGGCTCCCGCTCCATGGCGCCACCTCCGCCGCCGTCACGACACCATGGCGGCGCGGGATCTCGGAGGGGAGGGATCTCGGGCTGGGAGAGAAGGCTCCCGAGAGCTGGGGAGGTTCTAGAAGAATGGCGGGGAAAGGCGGGCGGCGGCGATCGATGGGGTGGGGGGCTCGGGGCTCGGGCGTGCCGGCGTGGGGAGCGGAGCGCGTGCTGCTGCGGCCTGCGGGCGGGGATGATGTGGGGAGTGAGCGAGCGTGCGAGCGGGGGCGTCAGAGGGGAGGGGGGGAGGGGAGTCGACGATCCCGTTCGTGCCGGTCCCTCGTGTGCTGTTTTGTTTGCGCCCATTTTTTCCTCCTCCGTTCCTGTCCGAGAGATGGGGACATTTTCCAGCTGGACCCTCAAGAATGTATGTTTTCGCAGTTAATACGTATTTTGCAAAGAAGAGCCCAAGATTATGCAAGTGCTAGCGCCTGTGGTCAATAGCCATGCCTTTCCGGTAGCTAACATTAGGTGTGGTTTGGCAGAGCTTATAGAGCAGATTCTTCTTAAAATTACTTCTTCTCAATTAGTCAAATAGCCAAAATGTACATAGAAATATATATTTCTAAGCGGCTAAGCTTAACATAGCCGTTTGTTCCACGCGTCATATGTTAACTCTTGCCAAAATTTATCATATCTAAAGCGCCTCTAATCCAACCGGTTAGAGCGTCTCAACGATACTCCTCAGATCCTAGGTTTGACTTCTCATGGGAGCGAAATTTAGGTTGAGGTTAAAAAAATCCCCTCGTCTGTCTCACGCCAAAGCACAGGTCTAAGGACCGGCCCATTCTCACAGGACGACGGTGCCGCTGTGTAAGGGTAGGGCAGGGGTTCGGAGGTTTTCTGGGCTTACGTGAGAAGATCTTCTTCTTAATGCAATATCTAGGGATGGTCATACCCTCACAGGTCCAGTTTTTTATCATATCTATGGTGTTATTTATGAACCATACTTAAGGGTCTGTTTGGATCTATTGGCACTAAAAATCTACTACTAAAATTAGTACTAGTAGATTCAAACAGACTTGCTAATAAACCTACTAATTATTAGTTGAATGGCTACTAACTATTAGTTTCATTAGCATGTTTGGAGTTGCAAATAGTTCATATACACCTTCATCTCACTATCCAACCACCTATTAGCAGCTGGATTAAAATAGTCTCTTGCTAAAAATTAACACTAAAAATTAGCAGTTATTAGCTATTAGCTACCTAAATAACGGATCCAAACAAGCCCTAAATTGTGGCTTAAAACCAAACATGACGTTAAACTAAAATCAAGCAAACTCCAATTTAAATTTAGTATGTTGTGTCAGTATGTCTTGTCGATGGCCCATATGCAACTATTCATGGTGTCATCGATAAAAACAAGAGATTGGAAGCGCTTCTAGGCTCTAGGAGCGTTGAACGTTTACCATAAATAAATGATTAAAAAATGTGTTCAATAAATGTATGAAAAGATAAATATCACGTCAAAAAGTCATAAGTTATATAAACGTTGACAAACATCAAAAGTGATAGTTCCGATATGATAAACGATTAAGAAAATGGTGTGTTCGATAAGTTTATAAAGAAATGAATATATCTTGCAAAGGTGAAAGGTTGTCGAAACATAGTGTCACTAATTTTGGGATATTAGTAGACTTTGTTTTCGCTTTGAGTATAGCAATGTTGAGAAATTGATTTGAATATCTATCTCGATGCTCAAAAAATCCATTTAGCCAAATTCATGAGGCACAGAGCATGTCACGAATTTTGGGAACTCAAAGTTAACTTGTTAAACTTCAATGACATAGGCAAAATTTGGCCGTTGGTGCACATACACTCGCACGACCTCCATGTTGGCATTTCATATGGTCTATTGGATAATTCCACAAGAGCACAGAAGATATCAGTGCAACACTTCACTTGGGAGTATAACGAGATCCTATTTATCTTTTACCATTGGAAAAGCTTAGGGTTAAGATGATTGATAAATAAGATTTATTAAGATTATTATCTCAAGCAATCGCACAACTCTAGACAAGGGTAAATGACAAAGGCGCATGTTGCTTTACGGTAGAGAATAGGCGATAAGGTAGTGTCGGATACCAGAAAATGGGGTACCCCAAGCAAAGATCGAAAAAATGCTTAGACCCTAAGAACAGAACCAATGGAATAAACAAACGAGGTCTCAGCCGAAATCTCCGATTCGCCCGAGACCCCGTCGTCGAGCCCCAGCGGAAGCGAACGATTCTCTGACTCGCCCGAGACCGCCTCGTCGAGGCCCCCTCGCCCGGGGCCTCGGAAGAAGTGCCGATTCTCCGATTCGCGTGAGGCCGGCTCGGCACCAGACCCGTGACCGCCTCTTCGACCAAACTGCTCTGACCGAACGTCGCATCCAAGCGCCCAACCACTCCGACAGACGCACGATGGCACAGTACAGCGAAGTGACCGACTACACGCCAGTCGCGTCAACCTCCTGCCATCTGCGACGCCACAGAGCAGGGGTTATCGACCACTGTGCTGCCTAACTCCTACGCCAAGGACATCGCAACATGGGGAGTCAGAACGGGTTCCTGTAGCCTCGAAATCAGCGGACCGGACGGCTCCGGCGCGCCGAGCCCCCTCGACAGGCCTCGGATTCATCGATCTTTTACGCCTCGCCCGTCGCCTCGCCGAGACCCCGGTAGGGCCTTGACGAATTGGCGGCGCCGCGCTACTTCGAGGCGGGCTCAAATCCCCGCAACCTTGTCGCCTCGCCTCAAAGGTCTCTCTGGCGGTCGTCGTCGCATCCAATTAATCGCGCTCATTTGCACCGCTTCACGTAAGCCACGATCGGCGGTCTTGCGCAAGCAGGGAGCGACAGGACAACGGTCGATCACTTTTTTTACCATCCCTCATCGACAATACAGTATCGTATCCGTGAGGCGCCGTCTCGCACTATTCCGCTCGATGGCGCCGAGACCCGCATTCGCACTGGGTCACTTCTCGGGGCCTCAAGACGGCAAGCCCTCGGACAACAGCCTCGGCATGACCCGGCTACGATGGGCGCCGAGCCTCGCAATCCACCAAGCCAACAAATGCGCAAAGCATGTTACTTGCGATGGAGACCATACCGATTAGACATCTACGGGAACTCCCACGACAACGCCATGTTTGCTCCGAGGAATGCATCGTCATCGAATAGTCCGCTCACGTGTAGCTCTCTTATGTACTCTGGTTTCCTCCCTACGGCTATAAAAGGAGGCGGCGGGACCATTTCTAGGGACGATATATAGAGTCACGAATACTCGCATGAACAACACGCCTCATTCTGTAATTCATATCTCCTCCCCTCACAGAGAGACAGGGACGACGAACTCTCCTCTCGCCTAGCTTGTAACCCCCTACTATGAGCACCCCGGTGCAAGGAATACAAGAACATCTTCTCGAGACTAGATGTAGGGCATCCATTGCCCGAACCAAGATAAACCTTGTGTCTCTTTGCATCACCATCCGGAATTAGGAGCACGCAAAGACAAATTCACTAGTCGGTTAAGGACCCCGGTTCCAAACACCGATAGCGGTTGGCGTCACCGGTAGGGGCCTCTGCGTGTCGACTTAGTCATCCCACCAGATTCCGGATGGCGAGATCACGTGCGATCGTTGCGTCTCGGGACGATCGTGCGGTTCGGGAGCCTAGAATTCATGTCTCTAGGCACACGAAGTGCGACATGGTACTCCTCTCACCCAGAGCGCCATCAACCAACGACGACGTCATGCACCGGCAGCCCACGCGCGGATGGCGCCCGGGCCACCGCTCCCGTCAAGCTCGCCAAGCGCCGCGCGGGTGAGTCCACCCTAACACCACGCAAGTACAGAACACCGATCTGTGCTCCACCGGAATCCCATACCCCGCTGCTGGCACAGAGTCCCTGCACGGGGACCTGTCCGGCTTAAGCCTCGACAGGAGAAAAGGGCCGGTGGCGCACAGCGACGCCTCATCATCAAGCTCTGTCCCGCCTCCTCCCGAGGAGCCAGCTCTGGCGGAGCAGAGCCTGGCGACGGCGCCATCCCCGTACCCTTTCGGGCTGACCAATGTCGCCGCCTCCTACGCCACCGCCCTCGTCTCCATTCATCAACGTTATGCCCATAACCCCATAGTCACAACTCCAATCCACCCCCACTCTGACTCCTCGGAGGAGGACGAGGCGTGGGTTGGAGCAGACTTCTCCGGGGTTCACGACCCTGAGGCGATGCGCCGCTTCATGATCGCGAGCGACTACTGCTTCGGCTACTCCGATTCCGACGGCGAGGACGCTTACGGCCCGACTCGTGAGTGTTTCCACATCGGACTCGGAATGCCGAGCATGGGCAACGATGGAGGAAGGGCAGCCAACGCCACACCACCACGCACGGGATCCCCGCCAGCGGCGGTAGGTGTCCCCACCCCCGAGCAACTTCGACGCATAGACCTAGAGCAGCTCTGTGAGCTTCAAACCAAGGTCGATCAAGATCGACTCCTCCTGCAGCAGCTCCGAGCCACCCTTGAGCAAGAGCAGCGGGGCGCAGCGATGGCGGAACAGCCCGGCTGGGGTCTCACGACGTCAACCGCCGCATTAACGATGATGAGGGGGGCGAGCAACCCCCTGTCTTCAATCGCGCTAGCCAGAACGTCGCTGCGGCGGTGATACTGGTCCGAGCGATGCCCGAGCCCTCTACCACGGAGGGGCGACGGGTCCACGGTGAACTCCAGGCCTTCTCGAGACTGTCGTAGTGCAGCAGGCCGAAAGCTCCGCGTCTCGATGACATGGGGACGCCTCGAAACAGCCCTTGGTGCACGACCGCCTCAGGGCCCCCTCGGTGCACGACCGCCTCGACGACCAACGCGAGGCGCAAAACGGCCACCACGTGGGCAGCAGACGACGGCGCCACGACCACGATGGGGCCGCCCGGGGCTACCAATTGCACCGAGGCGGTCGCTATGATAGTGGGGAGGACCGTAGTCCTTCTCCTGGGCC